ATGCGTTTGTTGCAAATGTGTCCGTGTCCCCAAGTAGTCGCACGCTGTTCTGTGTCAGGGTGACATTGGGTTTTTGTAAAATACATTTTGTGGTCCACACATGCACACGGAAGCCTGCAGATAAAATGTCCCACCAATGCAGAATATGAGTCATGGCTTCTTGCCATGCTTCACTTTGTCCTCTGTCTCTCACTGTATTTCCTGGCAAAAGGCCTCTTCCTACAGAGTGTCCTCCAAGAGAAGATTCGTCTTCCTCTCCCCTTCTGCAACTTTGACCACCTGTGTCCTCCAGAGCTCTGGACACAGGTCATGGGGCCTGAGTCTGCTCTCACAGGATCAGACAGTCACCTACTTTGTCGTTTTCCAGCATCTGTGATGAGCATGACATAAGATGACAAGTATTTACATAGACACTAGACGTGGAAGGCATCTGTCCCCACTGTCTGTGGTGTATATGAGGAGGTGGCAGCAGGAGCCTAGCACGATGACCATATGGGACAAGGTTAACAGTCATCCACACCAAAGTAGTTTCAAATGTTTTATTGGAAAGTGCAAACCAACATCCTATTAAATACCAAATGGAGGGGGGCCTCTTCTATCTTGATTGCATAATCCAGTGCTATCTTGCCAGTCTCAGCACCAACATGAAGAAACACTGGAGTACTGGCAGCCAGACTTTCAGAAGAGGATGTTATGGCCAGCATGGTGGACACTGGCAACATGTGTGCTCGTCACACACATCTAAAATGATGTCAAGTTAACATGAGAAACATATGGCCTATAGTGTGGGACCAGGATGAGCAAATCTCCTTCCTGCAGGATCTCATACCACAGTCAGCTGCTTCTCACCAGAGGGAAGATATTCAGATCCTGGATAGAGGAATGTAGCTCCAGGGTCCAGGCGTGCGTGCGTGCGTGCGTGCGTGCGTGCGTGCGTGCGTGCGTGTGTGTGTGTGTGTGTGTGTGTGCATGTATCAAATGGGCAGATGGGGAGGCCCCCACCCTGTCACTTTTATTGGCTCTGTGGGTCGTTAAGTTTGAGGCACATGTGTGCCATCTTCACACGTGATTTCTCTTTCACAGTATCTTATAACATGTTGCTAGGATCCCTCAGATGTCCCTGTGCCTGAAACAGACCCTCAGAGAACCTTAGTGCTGCCAACCTGTAAGAAAATGGTCGCAGGGTGAGCCCACATACTTTGAGTAATTTGAAGCTGGAACAGGGCCGACCTCTAAGGTCTTGCTTGACTGCTTTCACTCTTTACTGCTTACCAAGGGCTTTTGTCTTTCTTTGTTATAGTCTTTGTACTATAAAAGTATTTTTGATAAAGTTTCAATAGATTACTGTTCTGAAAGACAGGTTCTCAGTGATAGCATTCTCAACAGGAGAGTAGACTGCTAAGGCCCAGAGGCTCAGGCGGAAGTGTTTGTGCAGCAGACGAGGCGGATGCTTTAATTGCCATGTTGTCTGTAGCCTAGCCTTGTTTCTCCATAACCAAAACTCAGATCCCAATGAATCATTTTCTTCAAGTCTCAACAGTCTTATGAGGCACATACATTAAATCATTAAATTCCACTCTAGACAGTTTCTTTGCTGGGGAAAAAAAGAAAAGAAAAGGAAAGAAAAGGAATTGCTTGGGGACAGTTTTTTTTTAATTGAGTCCTCTAAAATCTACTGAGATGACATTTGAATCCTTGGGAAATCTGGGGCATGTGTTCACTGTAGAACACCCAAGGAGGATGTTCTTAGGAAGAAATTTGCTCCAAACACCAGGTTGACCCCTTTTCCTGAAAACTGGGGCCACCTTCAACTCAGCTCCAGAATGTCCTGTGCTCATCAGGAGGAGATTGACTTCTTTGTGGAGGACATGTGCTTTTGGAGGACAGAAGAAAACCGCTTCCTACCAGCAGCTATGATGAGGGGACTCCTGTGAAGCCACCCAGGTCCCCAGGTCCATTACTGGCATATGCCACAGAACACACACCCAGCAGGGTCTACAGCCACAGGCAGCAGTAGTAGCAGACTGGACTGTGGTGTGAATACAAAGGCTTAAGACTTTGAGATACCTAGCTTCCTTGTGGAGGAGCCACTCTGGGCTAGTTACTTCTGGGAGAAAGGAAAGCTGACTGGCCGGACATCCAGGTGTGAAGAAGTCTCTAGAGGGTCTCTGGAAGCAATGAGTGTGACCATCCAGAGCCCTGCCTTTGCTCCCCTCCTAGGAAAATAGGCTCTACCATCAGCAGTTTAAAACTCCCTTCAATCAGCCTGCTTCTGAATCAGCCTCATCTCCTGGCTCCTCTTGTCATTCCCTCATGGGAACATCTATAAAGCACATCCCTGAATGCCAGTCCGTCCTGAAGTCAGTTCTTCCCATCTGTCCTGATGCATGACAGCCCAGATGCCAAAAGATGTGGCCCAAAGGCATTAGGCAGAAGATTACCGAATTTTACTAATTGGCACACCCTATGGACTTTATAAGTCTTCCTAGTTTTATCACCCTCACCTCCATGTTTTCACTGATCTATGTGCTAAATGACACCAAACTAAGGAAAAATCCATGTGTTCTTTTGCTGTTAACCTTTATTGTAGGGGACCTTGTTCTGCTACAAAAAACAAGACTGTGATTTCACATCAGGGGTCCTGCTGACAAGGGGTCTCTGCTCATAAATGTCAAGAAAGGAAACGACCCAATTTAAGACTTTTTTTGTATTATTCTGTCTTTTCTTTTTTGGTTTTTTGAGACGGGGTTTCTCTGTATAGCCCTGGCTGTCCTAGTACTCGCTCTGTAGATCAGGATGGCCTTGAACTTGAACTTGGAGATCCTCCTGCCTCTGCTTCCTGAGTGCTGGGTTTAAAGGCACCAGGCCCAGACTGTTGACAGACTTTTAATATAAAGCTCGCATTGTGTACCTAACTCGTGCATTTGGAGTTAAGGTGGATAAGTGGTAAGGCAAGGTCCTTGGGTTGAAGCATCTCCCTGTCTGGGGCAGGGGCAGCTCCAGAACTTTGCTTAGAAAAAGAACACCATGAGCACCAGGCTGTGTGAGAGGCAGAGGACAGACAGGCCCTGCAGGGGGCTGACATGCTAGCAGTTGGCTTAGAACCAAGGAACCCCTGACTGAGCTAACTATAGGTAAAGAAACAAGGGGGGCTGTGAGATAAAAATGGAAGTCAGATTTATTTATTTTATATATTTATTTACTTATTTATTTCCTCCTTTTTTCTGAGATAGGCTTTCTTTGTGTAGCCTTGGCTGTCTTAGAACTAGCTCTATAGACTAGGGTGGCCTCAAACTCATATAGATCCGCCTGTCTCTACCTCCCAAGTGCTGGGACTAAAGGCGTGCACTGCCACCACTTGTCCTGGAAGCTAGATTTCTAATCTTGGTGATTGGGTGAATGTTGATAGGGTCCAGGAGAACCCATAAAACCCAGCACTGATGTGGT